ATTATATTACGTAGTTATACCGATGACCCAGTTCCGGTTGCAAGAAGCATAAAAGTCCCAGTTAGTTATAAAAAGGGACTTTTATTTGATTTGGAATTAATAGTGGTTACAGGGAAACGTCCAACTTTGTTTGGAATGGATTGGCTCAATTTTATTAAATAAGATTGGAAAAATATCTTCACTGTTAATGTTAAGGATACGTCACGTAATAATGTGAGGATACCCAAATCCAAGTCATTTCCACATGCATTGTTGGAACGCAAAAGCAATTTATTCTCTACTGAGAATTCAGGTATAAAGGGTATAAATGGTATAACTGCATCATTGAAGTTAAGATGCTAGGCCTCTGTTTCAGAAGGCAAGGCCTATTCCATACTCAATGACGGAGAGTGTCAAAGTAGAGTATAATCAACTCATTGGGCTTCCCCGGTGGTACACGTTTCTAAGAGTGACGGGTCAATTAGAGTGTGTGGTGATTTCAAGGCTGTAAACAAAGCTATTGAAGATGATAATTATCAGTTGCCAAATGTACAAGATCTATTTGCACAATTCAGTAAGAAAGGTAAACAGCCAAAGGTATATTTAGTATTAGATTTGGCAGGTGCGTTTAACCAACTGTTGTTGGACGAAGCATCATCAAAATTGGTGGTTCTAAACACACACAAGCTGTCCGGTGAGGATGGTTGCATCTTGTGGGGCAGAAGAGTGTTAATTCCCGATGATTTACACAACCGCATTTTGGCGAAACTACACGAGAATCATACTGGCATGTGTAGAATGAAGGCGCTGGCCAAGTCTTTTGTTTGGTGGCCAGGTCTCGATAATGCTATAGAGGAGTTAGTTAGGTCCTGTTCGGATTGCATAGAAACTCAGGCTTTGTTGTTATGGCCGTGGGCTAAGAGACATGACAGCGAGTACATATTGATTATACAACGATAAAAGGTCACGATTCCTTAATTGTGGTAGACAGTTACTCTAAGTGGTTGGAGGTGGTTGCAATGAACAGCACCACTTCTTCCGCTACAATTACTGCATTAAGGGTAATGATTGCAAAATTTGGTTTGCCGCAACAAGTCGTGAGTGATAATGGACCTCAGTTCATTTCTTAACTTGAATGGTATTAGTCATACCTTATGTCCGCCGTACCATCCCTCTAGTAATGGATTGGCAGAAAGACATGTCCAGACTTTTAAACGGATGTACCAAAAGTCAAATAAATCATTGCCGTTACAGCATCGGTTAGCTGATGTATTATTTCGTTATAGGAATATTTTCTCACACTACAACAGGACACAATCCGTCGGAGCTGTTCCTTAAGAGGACTCCAAAAACTAGATTGTCTTTAATTTAACCTAGCCTCCAGCAAAGCGTGGAAAAGAAGCAGATAGCTTCTAAATTTCACACTGATGGTAAATCCCCTAAACCGAGAGTGTTTGACTTGTAATATAGAGTTCTATAGAGCGTTGATAGACACTCTAAAGAAATTTTATAGAAAAAAAAAATCTAGAAAAATCTATAGAATTTATTGCTGCGAAGCAGCCAATTCATATTCTTGACAGCAATTTGACCTCTGAAAGGTCATTGTTTGTCAAAAAAACAAGGGCCTAAGACGACTGAAAAGCGGAGTTTCCTTCTTTCGTTCTGCCGGGTAAAATCAATTACTTTAGGCGAGGTTTGTAGACTAACCAAGACGTACCAACGTCCGCATGTCGCGCTAGCCTTATCCTACTTAAGGCCTAGACTAGCTAGGATGGTATAGGCCTAGCCTTGAAGGGACGAAGGTCCCAATGAAAAGCAACGTCGCTCCTTGATAGCTAACATTGTCTATTTAACATCACATTAATTCATTATTAGACCTTTAGTTGTCTTTTGAATTGTACTCCACAAATCTCAGCCGATACCTCGCACAACTCGAGTAACGTCTCGTATCTATTGTCGTGACGTCATGGCTCGCTGGCTCACACTTGCGATGTCTCGCACTTTTGTGATCAAATAACACCCTGGCTCGCACTTTGGCAACACTCTTTGGCAGTCAACTCGCCCCTAGAAAACCCGCCCTTGGAAACTTGCCCCATACAAAAAATGTACACTTCCTAGACCATGCAGTCTTCAAAATAAAAATTGTAATCTTTGGTAATCAACTACATTTTCCACATACATAGAAATTTTTGAAACTTTATTTAAAAAACCTAAACAATATTTCACCACTATAGACACTTTTTGACAAAAATGAAAAATTACGACTTTTTTACCCAATGAGAAGTGTTCTAATATAGACAATGGGTCGTGTCTCATATTATTTGTTATATTTTTATTATTCATTATTTTCACTTGACTCGCATAAATAATTTTGTTCGAAGAACATTAATATGCAGTTGTACTTCGCAGCACTTTACTTGCAATTTGCAATTTCTAGTTTAGAGTATTATAGAAAAACAAAATATAGTTTTTTTAGAAACATTTTAATTTTCTATAGAACTACAACAATTACTATAGAACTTTACATACATCTGTTTTATAGAATTTATATAGAATTTTCAATAATTATATCGACTTCTATAGAATTCACGTACAGTTCTATAGGAAGTTAGACAAATTATATAGAAAAGCTTATAGAAAATTACCATTATGAAAAAATTCCATAGAAAGTTGATAGAATTTTCATAGAAAAAGACACAGGTTTCTATAAAATGTCTACAGAATTTTGATAAATTTCTATTAAAAAATCTATAGACTTATTAGTATTTCCATAGAGATTAATTATTTTATAGAAAATATAAACATTCTAAAGAATACATATATAAAGTTATAGAATGTTTTTGAAATAAATCAGAATTCTATGGAGTTTCTGTATGTTGATTCTATATAATTTTTTAAAACCTGACCTATAGAGTTTCTGTAGAAAATCTATAGGAAACCAGATAATGTCTTAATAGAATTCTATTAAAACTCTATATGGTTCTTTAGAAAGTTGATAGAAACTCTAAAGAATGTTCTTAGAACCTGAACCAAACAATCAACTACTGTATAGAGTTTCTTTAAAACTTTATTTTCTATAGAATGTACAGAATTCCAACTTTCAAAAAACTTACTTTTAATAAAATGTCTTTAGTTAAATATCTAGATAAACTTGTTGTAATGCCATTTTATTTTCTCTTCTCTTGTTTATTCCAATTGTACTGCACAGCCAGTTATGAAGTATTTATTTAACAATCAGCTAAAACTTTATTGATATTACTTCAGATCATCACTGACAATGTTTTTTAAATCAGCTGCCATATCTTTTAACTTGATCAACATAAAAACTTTTACCGCTGCAGCACTTCTGAGGAGATATAAATACATTAATAGATTATAGATTTGGAGAAATTTGTTATAAACATGTAATAAAATAAGCATGCAAAACTACTATAGGGCTAGGACTAAGCCTTATGACTAGGCCTATAGGGTGAAGTAATGTATAAAAAAAGAGACACTTACCAAAACACATCCCATATACATATCAAGTTGATGAGTTGCACTGAGACTGCCAGTGTGAGAACATTAATGATGGAAGCGATCAGTTGACACGGGCTGGCAGTTGGCTAAGCCCAGCCAGTAGGGGTTGCCTATGACTAGCCTAGGCTAGGGCCTGCCTAGGCTGAGGTACCTTCATTGTCTTCCTTGCAAAAAATATGAATGATGAGCGTGAGACATAATACTGGATCTCGAGTAGGCCTAAATATAGTTCGTTTTCAATCCATTAATGAACAGAAATCGTATCGAAACAAACCATGGTCATGCGTTTTGTAATTCGACCATCTCGTACACACGTACATACTGGCCTGTACCTCTGATATTCAAAGGGCGCGTACAGCCTACTATTTTATTGTGGCGCACTCACTCGCTTGTTTTGCCTACATGGAATATCAGTGCGCCAGGTTCTGCACGTGAGACTCTTAGAGTCAGCTAAAATATAAACATATAAATTAGAATACAAAAGAGGCCTATGTAGAATAACATTTAATAATGTTGGTCCTAAATATCAAGATTAAAACATTTCATCTTCTTACAAGAAGGCTGATTTTAGAAAGCTTTCGAACCTTGTTTTGCCGTTTTCTTACGCGAAACGCGATGTGTTTGTTGTTTGTTGCAGAGCTACCGAATTAGCATATTCATGCTCCATTTTGATTGCTAGAAATCAGGGAAATCGATTTCTGTTTTGTGATAAAGTGCATGCAGTTGAATTTGATAAAGTAATGAAATATTTTTCACTTCATAAACGTTAACTTCATAAACATTGATATAATTCATTAAAAAAAACGTTGTTAAACATCATAAAACTTGAATGCGATTATTGCACATTCCGGATATTGAATTACTACTTAATGACAATGTGTATATTGTTTTGTATCTATTTTGATTGAACATATAATGACAAGTTTCAGTATATTATTTTAAATGGTTATATGAATTGCCTGTCATTGTATTGACTGTTTTCTGTTGTGGTTATTGTGTTCATTGATTTGTTATTCGTCTCCGAAGCGTGTTGGTCGGCGGCTTATTCGACCGGATCTGGTAATTGTGTTATACGTCGATCCTGTGCTTCTCGTGTTGGGATAGGCTGGGTTGTTGTGGTTATTATTTTTTGGTTTGGGTGGTTGTAGCTGTGTTGGATTTTCAGCAAAGTGTACGTGTCGGCATACTGGTGTCGTATCATCGTCTTCATATTGTGATATTGTATTGTTTGGTTCTTATGGTATGGTCTCTTGTGTCAGTTGGGTTGTCGGTTACTGATGGTGTATTCCTGGTGTTGCTTGTGATATCAAATTCTGATACGTCTCTGATTTCGGATCTATTCCTCCTCCACGTTGATCCATTGTGTGTAATAACCACGTATGACCTTGGTTCTTTGCAAACGTTTGTTAATTCTGCAGTAATCCAAATGCGTCTGACTCGCACCTTTTGACCTGTGTGAAGTGGTTTTAGTTCAGCTCCAGCATGCTTCTCATGGTATTGTTTCATTTCCTGCTGTCTTGATATAAGCTTATCATGCACTTCTGATGCTTGATGACTTCTGACAAGTGATGACTTGGAAGCGTTGTTCTTACCAGTCGACCAAACATCATTTCTGCAGGTGATGGTAGGCCGGGTCCAATCGGGGTTGCCCGGAGATGTAATAAGGCAACTTGTATGCTTTGCCTAGTCTGTGTGCATTTCTTGATCAAGGATTTCAATGTTCTAACTGTGCGCTCTGCCAGTCTGTTTGAGCAGGGATATCTTGGAGAAGAGGTAGTGTGTTTCACTCCCCAGTTTCTGTACATTTCTTTGAAGGGTTGGCCGCTGTACTGTGGACCGTTGTCCGAAACGATTTCTGCCGGTGCTCCAAAAAGGCTCATTGTTCCGCTCACAATACGTGCAATAGTGGTGCTTGACGTAATGTTTAACTTATGGACAATAGGATATTTGGAATAGTAGTCCGTTATTACTATGTAGTCATCTTTACCAATTGAGAACAAATCAGCAGAGAGCTTGGTCCAAGGCGTTGTTGGGATGTCGTGTGGCTCCAATGGTTCTTTGTGCTGTGAAGGCTGGTGCTCCTGACATGGCTGGCACAACTTTATTGCTCTTTCGATGTCTTTATCGATTCCTGACCAATACACTGTCTCTCTGGCAAGCCTTCTGGTTCGTTCAATCCCCATGCGTCCTTGGTGCAATTGTTCTAGGATGTTTGTTTGGAGATTCTTTGGGATTATTACTCGTATGCCATTGAACATTACTCCATTGGAGATCCCTATCTCGTCTCGGTATGGCCAGAACACTCTAATGTCTTCCGGAACTTGCTTTATGTTCTCTGGCCATCCAGCAATTACAATTTGCCATAGTGTCTGTAACACTCGGTCGTTTGAGGTCTCGTTTTGTAGTTCCTCTTGCTTGCTAGTTGCAAAGCTCATTAGGTCAGTATTGAGTGTGTCTTCAATATCGTCAACCTCGAGCTTGATCGGTACATCTTGTGTTTTGCTTGGGTTTGGCAGTCTGCTTAGGGTGTCCGATAATACCATTAAGCTTCCTGGCTTATATTTGATAGTGCAATCATATCCTTGTATTTTGATAAGTTGTCTCTGTAGGCGTGGAGGTGTGCTTGTAAGTGGCTTCTTCCAGATCATCTCTAATGGCTTATGATCGGTTTCCACCAAGAATTCTTTTCCAAACAGATATGTATGGAATCTGTTGATGCCAAATACGAGAGCAAGTGTCTCACGTTCTATGTTAGAGTAGTTTGCTTGTGCTGGTGAGAGACTTTTCGATGCAAATGCGACTGCTTTGCCGTTTTGTAAAATACAGGCTCCAAGGCCCTTCTGGGATGCGTCTACTTCTAAGATAGTTGCTTTGTTTGGATTGTAGTACTGCAGGCAAGCTTCTGCTGTGATTGCCTTCCTTATCTCATCTAGAGCGTGTTGGTGATCTTCGTGCCACAACAATGGTGTCTTTTTTCAGAAGATCTCTCAGTGGCGATGCTTTCTCTGAAAAGTTAGGGATATATGCCGATAGGAAGTTTAATAGTCCAAGGCATCTCTGAAGATCGTCTTTGTCTCGTGGAACAGGCATAGCATGAACATCTTCGATTTTTCTTGGATAAAGAGATATCCCGTCTTTGGAGTAAATGTATCCAAAGAATTGATATGATCAGGTTTTATTGTACACTTCTTACTTTTGAAGACTAGCCCACGTCTGGCTGTCTCTAGAAGGTTGTGTAGGTTTCTGTCATGCTCTTCCTCGGAGCGACCGATCACTGCGATGCAGACACAGCCATCCGCCTGATTGATTATTCGATCCATATGTTGTTGAAACACATCTTGGCTCACTGATAGACCGAATGGCAGCCGTTGGAAACAGTATCTTCCAAATGGCGTTCGGAACGTGGTTAGTTCCTGTGATTTCTTTGCAAGGTGGACAGACCAATAACCTGCTTTGGCGTCTAGCTTTGAGAAGTATTTAGCCTGCGAGAATGCTGGGTTTAGCTCCTCTAGTGTCGGCAATTTGTGGGGGCATCTCTTAAGGTTTTGGTTCAGTTGCTTAGGATCAATGCATATTCTGATTGATCCGTCTTTCTTGAGCACACTCGTTATGGAACTGCACCAGTCTGTGTGATGTTGTATCTTTCGAATGATAAATTGTTTTTCCATTTCATCTAGCTCTTTCTTTATTTTCTGCTTGATGTGTACGCTGCATTTTCGAGGAGCATCTATTGATGGGTTTGCGTCCTCTTTGAGATGTAGAACTGCTTCGCCTCTGAAGATTCCTATTTTGTCGAACTGCTGTGTGTACAGTTGTTTTAGATCATTCACTA